GGAGTTTCAAGGGGCAGGGGAAGGGGATTTCAGGTCTTTAGAGTGCGTGCAGATGGTATGTTGACAGCCCTGTATGGCTGAAGCTTAGCGGAGTTACACTGTACGATTAGTACGATCTGATGATGCTCAATGGTGCTCATACGCTCCGGGCCACACACAGATTTCTCAGCACTGCTTGCTGTCAGGATGGTGGCAAGATTGTGCAACTTTGATGCAAGCAGAGCTGGTTTTTGGCGCCGGAAGGCCAATGTGTGTGTGTGTGTGTGTGTGACGACGTTTCCTTGACAGGCCTGACAGCTGTCGCCTTCACAAGTGGAAGTGCACTTCTGTTCTTTTTATGGGAGGCCCTCGCACTTCGATTTATTGAGGGGAGTACCGGAGGCCTGAGGTGGTTTGAGTGGGTTTGGTTTTGGTTGCGCTTTCCAGGTATGCCACCTGCAGCGTGCTTGAGGAGGAGAATGCCCCAGCCTCAGCCGCGAAGCTGCGAGATTGCAGGACTGCATGGGCGCCTTCCTGGGAGTCGGTGGTCGGTTGCGCAGCGTCCAAGAGCCACTGGGGTGTTTGCCACGATTTAGACATAGCTCAGTTGGCCTTTAAAGTTCAGTTGGCGCAACTTGGTGTCATATTAGCTCATGATACGAGCAAGTATTTGGAATCTGGACGTATGTGCAACTCATTGTGTGTTTGCTCGTGCTTTTCCTTAGCGGCTGTTTTTTGGTGCATTGGTCGAGTATCGTTACGAGTCTCCACGGGGTTGCGCCAAACTGAATTCCACTGGCTCGATCGCGCCGTAGTCCGCGCCTTTTTGTAACCTGTAACCTTGACCCGTTGACAAGTTTGCCCCAGCCGCAGCATGGGCAACGACGACTGCTGTCAGAACTATGACAGGGATCAACTAGAAACTTGTCGTTTGTGTGGAGGAGTGGTGGTTGTTCCCCCTTGGAGCGTGCTAATGCGCGGTATTTGAGTTGGATGGTCGGGATTGCCCTTGGAATTTGTACATGGTTGTCATTTGGGTGCTTGGCGTTTGTCTTGAGACGTGCTCACGTGTGGGATGTTATCATTTAGGCCTTTCTGAACCGCTGAACCCAAGGAGCAGACGCGGGCAGCGTGTTGCGACATGGTTGCCGGTTTTCCGACAGCTATGGGGTCGGATTGCTCAGGCCCAGCAAGTCCGCTTCTTCTGCGAGAAGTTCGGGCTCCAGCTAAGCCAGCCGCCGCTCCATGCCAGGAGGGAGCGGCCCCCTTTGGGGCCCCGTTTGGGGCCCCCAAATCCTTTTGGACCGAGTTCCGCGCAGACATTTCGCATTTTGGGCCAATCGAGGTGAGTTTGGGTGGGAGCCTTGGTTCGGCTCCGCCTCGGGATTCGGGCCATTTGAATGTGGTCAAAACCACTCGGCTACTCAGGGTCATGACAGTCAGCTTTTTCTACAAACTGACAGCCAATGGAGCTTGCCCTTGCACGCGGCGCAGTGTCGAACTGGCTTGTGACCCCCTTTCCTCTACTTTGTGCGGCTTGCAAGGATTCCCAGCTCTTGGGGAACTGACCTCCAAGATAAGAAAGTCCAGCATTTGGGGTAATTGCTCAGATGGAAGGCTGGCCAAGCTTCGGCCCCGTATTTGTTTCCAATCTCTCATCGCTGGCAGGTTTGAGCAAACTTGCGGGACCCTCATGGGATTGTTGTCGCCCTCAACGGCATGAAAGGGGGCTGCCCGCCGTGCCAGGCCGCAGAGCAAAGGAATGGACGGCTTCTTTTGTGCCACCATGGAGCGGCGGTAAAAGGAGCGTGTAGGCTGCCTCATGGAGCCAGAAATTGTTCTTGCCATGGAGCGGCCTGTTTCATGTGTCGTGCCGCACGTGTTTTGTGGCCTTCGAGGGGGTATTGGGCATGAGGCTGAGCCAGTGTGAGCAACTCGCCCCGGGTACAACTGCATCGTTTCCATTTTTAGACTACACAAACTGCATCGTGCCACCCTTCCCTGAGATCTTGCTGCTTCGTTCAACGTTCAAGTCAGTGCTGAACAGGCACACTTGGCGGCGTTGTCCTGTGCTTTTGGGCCAGCAATGCATTGCTTAAACTGGAAGTACTTCCCAGGGAGGATATGATAGCTCAACGACGCTGCTGATTGGACTTAATACTGGTGCTGGAGAAGCGCTATGTCAGTACTGAACACAATAGCCGTCAACGCTTGTGGGGCTGCATCTTGTACTTTCCATTCTTGGCTCCCAGCGTAGCTGTCAACTCGCACAGACAGTGCGTGGCTTTGCTTGTCCCTGCACCTTGGCGGCATTGCGTAGCAGGGTCGTGCAGAGGTTCATGATGGACACGGCAAACATATGAATGCAACTCTGTATTGGGGCCAGACCGGGCAGGTTGGAAGCAAGTTCCTTCCCATTTTTTTGTCACAGGGCGCTTCTGCCTGCTTTCGGCCAGCGGTCAGGTGGCACATTTGCCTTTGGCAGAATGTCGGGGTCACAGAAGAGCTGCTTGCCTGCAAGATTCCAACCTTGAGTGGCTGAAGCGGCTTTAAGCAGCTGTTTCATGCTGCTGCTTTGAAAACTTGTGCGTGTTTGCGCGTTTGTGCGCTAGTGCATGTGCTTGCTACTTGCTCGTTGTTTGGGGTTGCTTTTTTCCCTTCCTTCCGGCCTTCCCTGTTTTTCTCATTTCTTTCTGTCGTTCTTACTTCTTTCTTTCTGGTTTTGTTGGTTTGCGGGGCTTGCAGATCTATTGAGCGTGTTCAAGGCCCTTGCAGGTTGGTTGCTCTTCTTGCCTTGGCCGTTGCAGACGTCACAACCCTGTGCTTAGAACTTTTGGCTTTCCGACCTTTCTGGCCTGTCGGAGTCGAAACAAACAGGTCAGTGCACATGGCTTTGGCTGCTCCCAGGACGTTCTTAGGGGATAGCCAGTATTCGCAATGCGGGTGTGTCTTTCTGACATTCTTTCGGGACCCCTCCAACACGTTCCCTTTAACCCCCCACCCTTCAAAAAAAACACTTGTCCAGCAAATGCTGGCGTGTCAGCCCATTGAGTTGACCCTGGAGCGACACAGCCCATAGCCCGGCCCCCTTCCATTTCCATGCCAGGTGACGCGAACGACCTACGAGCAGTGCCAAGGATGCAAAGTCTTCGACGGGCTGCAGTGTTTTACCACAAAGTTCCAACAACAAGTGGGTGTGTGTCAACTTAGGGGAGCAGATTATTGGTGTCCTTTCGGTGATTTTTGAAACCAATCTACGAAAGGTACGCTCAGAAAATACCACACACCCAAGTAGTCCAGGGACCAGGCGACTGGGTGCCCAAAAGGGGCCGAGCCATAGGAACTGACAAGTTCAGGAGCCTTTTCCAAGTTCTAGTTGGTGGGATGTGGGTCTGTCTTTTTTTGATGGCGCCATTCTTTGTGGTTTCACAAGGAAACCCAAAGCAACACGAATTCAATTCTTTTGGGGGTCCCCTAAAGAGACAAACCCATGTGCTGGAGGTTAAGTTGGGCCCAGCCTGCAAATTGCCTTGTTGCAAGCCTCACTTGAAGCCAGTTGCGCTGCAAACTTTTGACAGCTCCGCGGTTCAGGTGTTGAACCCAGAAGGAACCAAAGATCACCTGTCGTTTGAAAGGCGCCTGACAAGGGGCTTGCTGCCTTTTTATATGGGTTTGCTCTTTCTTCAGGTTGGACCCTGCCAAAACGGCTTTCGGTTGTTCCTTTTGATTTGAAAACGCAGCCAACAAAGGGGTACCCGTACCACCAAAAAAAGACACACTCAAATGGGCGGCTACAAGTCGAAGCTTCAGATATTCACGGAGCCAGGCCGTTTGCCCGCAACGGAACGGTTCCATTGAGCAATTGTCAAGTGTTTACAACGGATACCCAACTCGCAAAGGGTGGTGCTTAAAGGGGCGATCGGGTACTTAGTAAGTGCTTAGTAAGCCTGGTTGCAACCCACTTTGGAGAGTTACAGCCATGGCAAGTTGTTATTACCCACGTACTAAGCACAATGCCCTTTAAGTGCCACTGTCCGCGACGGCCACGGCTATAAGCGATTTTCAGCGGAAAAGAGGGAGACGCAAGGCATCAGAACGCGTCACCAAGGTGCAAAATGCATTCCGGGACATGAAGGTGGAGTCGACCAAGAGCACGGATGAGCGCCTTGCAACAAAGAACGTGTATATACTGCTGGGAGGCTATCCTGCCATGGACCACGTGATCCTAACATAAGCTGTCCGAATGTTGCGCATCAGAGCAGCCGAATTGTGAACCTGATAGGTCCAACATGCTTCCAACCTGGCGTGATCATGCAGACCTGACCAAAAGCCATCTAGCCAAGCATGCTATTAAGCAGGCTGACGCCTGATGCCGCCGACCCCCAATGTGCTTTTATTGTTGATGTTGTGTTAAATGTTGTTTTAAGAATTCGAGGTACGAGGTAAACATTATGATGATGATGATTATTATTATTAGTTGGCCAGATTCGCAAAAAGAGAAGAAAGAAGAAGACAGAAGTAACTCTAAGGTGTAATAAAAGATGGACTGGATCTCCTCGAAATCTTGGATCAAAGAAAAGAGTACCCGAATGAAGATCACCCAACATTAAAACAAGTGTCCACATAAGATAGGCAACGAAAGCATCATCATCATCATCATCATCATCATCATCATCATCATCAGTGTCATCATCATCCTGATCAGCATCATCCTCGCCATGCATCATCACCATCAGCATCATCATTCATCGGCATCAACATCATCATCATCATCATCATCATCACCATCATCATCATCATCATCATCATCATCATCCATCATCATCATCCATCATCATCATCATCGGCATCATCCCCATCATCATCATGACCATCATCATCATCATCATCAGCATCATCATCATCATCATCATCATCATCATCATCATCATCATCATCATCATCATCATCATCCATCACCATCATCATCATCATCATCATCATCATGATCAGCATCATCATCATCATCATCATCATCATCG